GAAATTGGGTACTTATATCTCATACTACTGATTTACTGGTAGACACGAAAAAAAATACTTAATTCAAAAAATATGTGAAATTGAATGGAAACGTCAGCTCAACTCATATCATTGTCGGAAAATTCTACTACCAGTCCTCGTCATCTTACACGAAATAGGTTGAATACCTCTCATGCCCTGACCTTTCGGTTTTTCTCTCCAACCCCTTTCAGGAGCTTGGCTACTTCCGCCATCTGAGCGAACTCCAGACCAAACAGCTGAATTCGCTGCAGGTCGACTTGGAATTTATCAAGTCCCACCTCAGCGCTGAGGTGTGGCGAAGCCTCGTAGACGAGCTGGTCGACAGGAAAGGCGACCTCGACGAGGAGGCCAGTGTCTCGGGTAAGTCGACCGCCGGTCGGGTCCTCGGACCCGACGAGTCAAGCCCATCAGCAGACGTGTCCACTCCGGCGTCGTCTGGCCCAGTCGCCGCCGAGTTCCCACTCCCGACAGCCTCAGGAGCCCAGTTTCCCGGGGCTCCTCCGAACGGCGTCGGCGGCGGCCGGGCCACATCGCCCGCCGGCAGAGCACGTTTGTTCGAGCCGCGGCTTTCCGTCCCCCAACTACTCGGCCCCTCTCCCCTCAGCTGCCTCTCCTCCGCCTCCGCCGCCACCGGCCCGCCCGGCAACACACTGCCACCAGTCGGGGGGACCGATACGCCCGCTCCTCTGTCGTCGGCCGGCGTCGCCGGATCGCATGGTCTGCCTCCGTCTTGTCCACCCTTTTGCGGAGTCGGCTTGGCGATGCGAAGGCGCTCGAGCTTGAGTCCCTCACTGTCCACTTCATCAGTCGCCTCCTGTAGACCCGTGTCCCCCAGCATGACAATCTCGACGCCCTCTGGCGACGTCTGTCCCTCCACTACTCCCACTCCTCCGGCTCCTCCGGCTCCTCCGCCCAGGCTCTCTGTCCCACCCACAACTCACAACATTTCTTCGACCCCTCCTCCGCCACCCATCAAGCACTCCTCTTCTCCCTCCACCTCATCTTCCTCCTCCTCCTCCTTCTCCTCCTCTTCCTCTTCCGCTTCC